TGAAACTGGGAAGCAGAGAGCTAAGCTGTAGCTTGGAGAATGTACTTTGCTCTTATAGCTACAGATAAGAAAAAAATCCGAAACACTACCAACTAGAGCAGACTTTCCAGCTGTTGTAAGATCCAGTGTGAAATGGTACCTGCTGTGATACTCCAGTTGGTGTCTTTGGGTGGATTTGATACTCAGGGGCAGGGAGTTGGGAGTGAGGAGGATCCCTCCAGGAAAGCCTTGATTTCCTGCCCCAGATCAGGTCTCTATCGAGACTTCCAGATATGGAACTCGTGTTCTCCTGAGTAAACCATCCTCTCTGTTGAAACTTATCTACATCATTTTGTCAAGAGTAGACATTATTTGCTTTGATTGCAGTAGCTTCTATAATGCCTGTCCTGTGTCTCAGTGCCATCTATGAAGGTTGTTTTTTTGAGGAGCAAACCATTTCCTATATGCTGGCTTTGTTAAATTAATAATGGGCTCCAATCTATTTCTCTGCAGAAAGTCCTATAGAAATCTAAGTTGTAGAAGCACAGTGTATTAAGACACTGTTTCATATCTATGGTTGTTATTTTAAGTGTGGTGGTAATCGCTTTGTGCCTCTGGTGAAGTTCATATGAATATGCCCCAGCTTGCAGCTTGGCCTCTGTCTGGCTGTTCTCCCTCTGCTGGTATCTGCTCAGAAACCCTGCTCAGGCAGCAACCTCCAGCATGTTGTCTGCATTCCAGTAGTCAAACGTGAGGTAGTGTGGTCTTACGCATTTAAGGATAAACTATTTTATTATATCTGCAGTTATTTTGGAATGCAAAGAAACCTTGACTGTTTTTAGAAGGTGGCTTATATTTGCCACAGCATCCCACCTTACATTTATCTCTGTTTCAACCAGTACACAACTTTCTACATAGCACTCAGCATAAGCAACTGTTTCTCCGCACAAGCACTCTTTATTTCACTATCTGTGAATACCTGTCCATATCTTACCTCCTTATCCCTGTATGTTGGTCCTGTACAGTGCAAGTCCCAGATTCCACTGAATTTCTTCATGTCCAGGGGAGCAGATGCCGGAGAGTAGGAATAAACTGCATAGGACTAAATTGCTGCTTGTCAGCTGGCTGCTACTTTATCTCATGGTGAAGCAGTTGGACCATAAACAAAACAAACACCCTGTTCAAATGTTAGGTGAAGTACATTTGGGTTTTTTTCCAGTTTTTCTTAAAGTTTTTCAGAGAAGCTGCCAGCTCTGTGCCAATGTGGAAGGACATGTGGGGATGGCTATGTGTCTGCAGACACTGCAGCAGGATCCAGACTTACCCATTGCATTGCAATGGAAAAGAGTTACAAAGTGCAAGCACTGTCAACTGCTTGTTCTTTTATGTTGATGAATGTTGTGACCTTGGAAGAACTGCCTTTTGGGTCATCCTAGTTATTGATACAAACTAATGTCTCATAGAGATGTTTTACCAGTAGTTTGCCTGGGCATCATCTGTTATTTCTGGTTTATGGGAGTGATTGATTCCACTTGTGTCCTTTAGTACAGTATGTGTTGTTACCACCTATAGAGGTTTGAAACAAGGGATGTAAGCCTATGGCCTGCTCTCTGTTGTACAAAAGATGTGGAAATGTCGTTAGGGTAGCTTTAGCATTGTGTTTTGATTGTGAATTGGTGAACTCTTTGCCATTACCTCAGAGGCATCTTGTGTTAAAAGAAAAGTTAATACTAAAGTCTGACCCTTTCAGAGTGATGAAATGATTTGCTGTAACTGGCTATTGTGTGCTGGAGGTGTGCTCACAGAGTGAATTTTTGTGTGTATATGTATAAGAGATATTGTCTGGTTAAAGTTTAAGTGATACAGCAATGGCTACAGCAGCCTGTACTCCATGATTCCTGTCCTAATAGCACTAGCTACTGCAGAGTTTAAGCTTGAGCATGATTTGTTACTGTTCTGTCTCCAGATAGAGTAGTGCTTTCCTTAATGAGGAAGAGAGGAAATTACTTTTATTGATCCAGTTTATTCTTCAGCTTTTCATTACACTTGTGTAAAAGATTTAGAAATCAATCAGATCAGGCTTGTATGCTTAACTTCCATGAATTTTAAGACTGTTGCTTGGAATTGTGGTATCCTTGTCTGTAGTTTTCACTAATTTTTTTTTTTTTTTTTTTTTTTTTTTTTTGAGTCCTGTTTCAGGACTTGAAGATAGATTGCTCCTAGATTGTTCAGGTGCAAAAGATTTTTGCTGAGATATTACTTTTGGTCTGCCAGACTTACATTGAGGAGAAGAATCAAATGGACTCTGCCCCTGCTAGTATGTCTGTATTTCTTTTTATGTTGGGAAGCAATAATTTCACATATTAAACAGAAAACTCCAGTGAAAAGTCTGATAAGAGAGGAAAGAAAAAGGTCAATCTTAGGATCCATTGCAGTTCATTAGCAGGAGAGAAGAGGCAAGATAGTGCTCAAAAGAGAGGGTTTGTTTTTTTGTAATCAAATCCAATTTTATGATAATATTTATTCTTTGTGTGGAAAAATAAAATATGAACAAAATCATGCCAATGATATGATTCATCTGGTTCTCTTTTCTTCCTCATCGCATGTGGGCAGCTTCCAGTAATTTTAGTGGAAATTATGATGAATGAGGAATAACTATATTTTAAAAGTAATCCCACTTTACTGCTGTGATCACTGGGTCTTATGGGGACACAGCACTGCACCTGTGCGCTAGTGGCAGATTAAAGGATATCCTGAGTATTTTTTAAGTGTGGCAGTGCTTTTAGGTCAGATGAAAGTATTTTATTGAGGAACAACATAGTGGAGAGAAGTGCGATGACATTTTTGCACTTTGAAGTGCTGTCAGTGGACTCTGTGTCAGATCTTTAATCTCTGCTGATCATGGATAAACCTTCCTCCTTCCCCCCACCTCTCATTGCTCTCAATTTACCATTCTTAGATTTATTGTTTCTAATGTAGTGAGTGACACCCTCTATAAAAATGAAGGAAGGGCAAAAATACGGTGTCATGTTGAAAATGTACAAATGCTGGTAAATTATTTTAATCTACATGCTTTTTATCTCCTCAGCCTCCTAATTGTCTAATTGAGTAATTTTTTTATAATGATTTTACATGGTTGGGACAACTTTTGGACAGGTAGAGATATTAGATATACTTTTGCTGAAGAAAAAAGAGCAGTTTCATATCCTTGTTCTTTTTGAAGTTAAATTAAGGTAATTAAAATTCAGCTTTTGCACAGGTATAAAATTGTGGGGGTTTACTTTTCCATAGTAGACCCTTAAAATATATTCCGGTATGGTTGCAGAGGCCCATGTAATGCATGTACCTTTGCTAACAATAGAACTGCTTAACCACTTTTGTGGATCCCTTAGAAATTGCTCAGTGATCCCCTGCATCTATGGATCATTCACTGATTGAAAATCACCAGGATCCAGAGGAGTTCATGCTCACAGACCGTTAGTCAGCATCTGAGTGTACTAAAAAAGCAGTAAATGAGGTAGTTTTATGTAATTTTAATAGGATTGACTTATGCTGGATGTGTTTTTACATAGCATTTTCCATGAGAATTTATGATGCCTCTTATATAATCGAGGGCATGCTATGGGTTCCCAGTTCAGTTTTTTTATCAGGAATCAATTGTGAGGTGTATACTGGACTCCAGATGGAGCTGGGTCTGTATGCCTTGTTTTGCCTGGGGTTTTCTGGCAATTCCGTCTTGATACTTATGATTAATTATAAATCTATTTTGCATTTGTTCTTCTGAGTTTTCTCAGAGAAGTCTATGCACTTTATCTGGTATGACCACAAAACTATGTCTGATTTAACTGAATGTTTTATATTAAACTGGGTGCTATTTTCTGGGAACTGCTAAGATGTACAGTACTAATGTATGTTAATTAATCAGTTGTATTGCTTATATCTGACTTGAAAATCAGTACTGGTTTTCTTGGTTGAAGTAGGGCTAAAGGCTACAGATGATTTAAATAACTTGTAGATGTTAAAATAAGATTAAGTACCAGCACTGTCTATTGTGACTTAAAATTATTTTGTAAAAGAAAATGTAAAAAGAACTTGTTTAATGTAATAAAAATTAGATTCCTGCCTTTATTGCTGTTTCTGCCTGAGTTCCTGCCTTTTTTTAACTTAAAATTGTGTAAATCCTTGCTTAATATTCATACCATCTTAATGCTAATATACGTATTCTTTCCAACACGCAGTATTTTGATTCTTTTTAGATGTTGACATTGCTTCAGCCACATGAGTTGTATAATATCAGTGAAGATGAATAATATATTTAAGCAAATATTAGAATTAGAGGTTACTATAATACTGTTAAGGATAGCTTACATGAGAGACTGTTCAGAAACCTGGAAGTTACCATCTAAATACAGAAGCTAAACAATGTTTAGAGGGTAATGTTCAGATGAGTTTATGTTAATTGTCTTTGTATCCATTTCAGCTTAGGTTTTATTATTTTTCTGAGAACTTGAAACTAAGCCTGAAAACCAGCTACTCTTGCTAGAGTGTCCAACCAAGTGGTGAATCAGTATCTTGCTCTAGCCAAATTTGTATAATTCTGCCAAATTAGTACTAAACTTATTTTGGTACAAGCCCTTATATTTCAGTACTGCATTGAGAGACTTTCATCTGCTTATGCAAATTCATTAAAAATTGAATCCCTAGACCCGATTCTAAATGCTAATGCCCATCCATTCATTCATTTCTTCAGTCTCCCCCACCACAACATGCACACGCTTTCTTCCTCTGCTCTCCCCCCCGCAGTGGGGAAAACCAGCTATAAATATGGACAGGGTTTTTAGGCTTCAGGGGGTTTTATGACTTCCTGTTTTGTTGGCGCTTTTTCCCAGTGTCTGTGCCTGTGCTTAATTAGGATATTCCTCTATCTGTCAAAGTAGGGTTTAATTGCTGTAAATCTTATGCTTCTTATTTTAAATGTTTTTTAACAGCTGTTACAACAGTATTTTTTAATTGTTTTATAGGCAAATTTAGAAAACAAACCAGTAAATGGCCGCAGACCAGAACTCATGGAATGCAGTATATGTGGTCATGGTGAAAAATACAGGGTGAAAACAAACCAAACAGTACCCATTGAAAATGTGCAGTCTAAGGAGAAAGAAAGAATGACAGGCTTAGAAGCAGAGAAGTGGGCACATAATGAGAAGCCATCTTTTGGTGTCCATGTCAATGGAGATATCCATGGAACTGTGACAGGCAATGAACACTTGAAAAACGATGAAGACGGTGAAAGAGCAGTCTCTCCCAGTCACTTAGTTGAGCCAAAAAATTCATTTGCACAGACCATCAAAAATGGCATAAAACCCCTACATTATTCGTCACCAGAAACAGTTGCTTCACTGAAAAAAGTGTCTGTAGCGGAAAGAACAGATTTGACAAGCAACTCCCGTATGCAATGGACAAAGGATACTAATCTGAGTAACATAGTAAACACTCTGGTGACTGGTGTTGGCTGTGTTCAACCAGAAAAACAAGGAAATGTTTTGGTGAAAGAGGAAAACTGCACTTGCAGCATCTTTGAAAATTATGGTAAGTCAGTTTTGCAGACAGGTTCCATTTCAGATCTGCAAGAAAGCTTGTGTTGCTCTCAACTGCCTGAAGAGGAAGAGCATGTGGGGAAGGATGGCTTTAAACTACCTAATGCAGAGACACAGCATGAAGATTCTTCGTTCCAGCCGACTTTCTTGTCCCTGATTAAAACGAGAAATTTAACTGTAGAGCAGGTTGTAGCTATTGAAGCTTTAACACAGTTATCTGAAGTCCCTTTAGAAACAACTTCACCAGCTAAAACTGCAAGTACCGAACATACAGAAGAAACAACTTCCAACTTGCTCCATAACTATAAAAGGGATATCTCCTCCTCCTTCACATCTTCTGCGTTAGAAGAAATCAAAGACACTTTCTTACAGAATGAACAACAGCTCTTGGCTCACTGCACTCACTCGCAGAAGCCGCTCCCTAATAAGGCAGTGTTATACAATGGCCAAAGCTCGATTTCTGATTTGCGTGAAAAACCTGCCAATCTGGCTGGCGAGATGTATAAATTACAGTTAGCCTCAAGAGATACCAAAACTTTATCTGACTTAACATCTAATGCAACATCATTTTCAGGATATACTACCAAGAAAAATTATACTCATGATCCAGTCACCCTTGCACGGTATTGCAATGCTTCACATAATGTCCAGCAAACAAGTAATAGCTTGGAAACTCTTGGCCAGTTAGAGCAAAAGCCAACTTGTAATGATTTGAACTTGGAACCTAGTTCTTTGATTAAAGGAGGAGTTCACAGCCAGGATGAAGAGGATGTAGCTACACAACTAACTCAACTTGCAGCGCTAATTGAATCAAACCAGACAAATCCTGAGCGGAAGAATGACATAAAGGCATCACTGCTTAATCTAATATCACAGGAGAGGCAGCCAAAATATAACCAAGATGTGTTGCAGAAAAAAGAATCTGTATTTTTTAAGCATAATCATAGTTCCTTACTGTTAAAACAGAAGCAGCCAACAAATAAAAAAGGAAATGCTGTACCATGGAAACCAAGACACAAAAAGAAGCCTCAAGAAGCACGCTATCAACAAAATAATCGAAACCAGCTGCAGCTGTTGTCATGCCAGCGTAGCGAGTTACAGGACATTTGGATATCGTCAAAACTGCACAAGTTTGGTCAAACCATGCCACAGGACTCCAGAATGACTCCGTCTGAAAAAAAGTCTCCAAGAACCAAAGCACAGAGAGCACTGAATCAAAATACTTTAGCATCACAAGAAAAAACTAGATTATTTCTCCCACAAACACAGATAAAATTCCATAGATGTTCACCTGAGGTACCTCAAGAGAAAAAAAAAGACAGGTTATTTGGCTGTGAAGTGGTGAATGAGCAAATCAAAACTGCAGGTTCTGGTGAGCCACTAGGCATTGATCCTCTGAAAAATGAAGTTGTTGCACGTAACCAACATAGTGACCTGTCCTCCCATAATGCTCTGGCTGTTTCACAGTTGAAAACAGCATCCTTATTGAACAGACCAAGTGAAAGCCTACAGATGTTTACAGAAAAATGCAATTCTCAGGTACAGCCAACAGCGAATGTCAGTCAGATACACCCTTTGCCTCAAACTTTTAATCAGTCTAACCTGAGAGCTAATGAAATCCATAGTGAAGACAAAACCTATATTCAGCAGGGTGCTGTTGAACAAGTAGATCCAAAGTCGCAGGTGCTGCCTGTTTCCTGTGGTGGAGCCCAGGTACCAGGTTCTGTTGAAGCTCTCAGGAACATGGAGTATGCGGGCGAAGTCACCGTTCTGACATCAACCAGTTTGGGTACTGACCACCCGCAGAGCACAAGCGACTCAGGGTGCTCTCCAGCAAAAAACACGCTCAGCAGTTTCCTTGAATCACCTATGAAGTTTCTTGATACCCCTACAAAAAATTTAATAGATACGCCTACAAAAAAAGGACAGTCTGAATTGCCAACTTGTGACTGTGTTGGTAAGTCTTTTTGCTAACTTTTCCTGTGCCTTTCAGATAGAAGTGTGTTATGACGCTTCTTTTAATGTGAGCAAATGTATTTGACGCTTACTTCACTGTTGCTAAAGGATCAGCGTTTCACCATTAGAAAATGGGAGTAAATTATTTTGTCTCTTTCTGTAACTTGTGCCCAGTACTCTTTGGACCTGCAGAACATGGAAGAATTTATTATTTTTGGTAGTGCAAATGGCAGGTTTAAATTCTTTACTTAAATTTAAACCCAGGAGAAAAATGAGTTTTTCTGTTTGTTCTCATTGCTGACTTGTGCTCTGTGTGAATTTATCTGCTGTATGTCAGATTCTGATTTTTACGAACTAGTTTTTGTCTGAGATGGGTTAGGTAAAAATTTCCCAGTATATTGTCATAGTGGCCTAAACGCTGTTAGATAAGCGGCAGGGCATAGTTGTGGAAGGTATTGCTACTGTCACTGTTAATCCTGATGACTAATGTCAGTTTGCCTTGAAGAGTCTATGTCAAAGGCTACTGGGTACCTCTCACTGGAGAGGGGAGAGGGAAAGTGGCGTTCCAGTGAGGCCTCATACGTGATAATTTGCACTGCAGGATGAGATGTCAGACCAAACTCAGTACTGAGGATTTTGCAAATACAGCTTGATTAATGGTGCTAGACATGCTGTGTTTTCAGACTTTCAGAGCGCACAGATGGAAACACAAGTCAGAAACTTAACAACAAATTGTACACAGGCAAATTGTTTTATCTTCGCTTTAATGTTCTGAATCAATAAGAGTGCTAGTTAAGAGGCCTGGATTATGTTTACTGTTCTGTAGTATATGACACTCAGTTATTTGTTTTTCCTCTCAATTTTCCTTTGTCTATAATGAATTAATGTTTTCCTAGCAAGAAGGATATTGGGAAGCTTACTTAACTTACAGCTCCTGTAATGAAGATTTGTAAAGAATGCAAAATATTACTATTATTAGGATTACTTTATAACATAAAGAATAAATGCTAGCAGACTAATAGGAGGAAACAAATATAAGCTAATTTGGATGCCTCTGAGGAGAAAAATCTGTCATAGTCTTTATTCAATACATTTCAAGGACAAAGTTTCTGTATTGTAATTTAACTAGGAAGATGCTTATGTAAACTATTTCTAATCTTATTTGTAATGGTGTAAATAAATTTTTATGTGCCAACTTAGCTTTCTCAACCTGCTTACAGAGCAAATTATAGAGAAAGATGAAGGCCCATATTACACACACCTCGGGACAGGACCAAGTGTTGCTGCTGTGAGAGAAATAATGGAGAACAGGTGAGGAAAATTCAGCATTTAATGCTCACAGTATTTTTGGCTGTCTAAACAGGAAAGAACAACAGCGATGAGAAAGCAGATGCTATGTTTGGCTTTGTTTTTCTAAACTTTTTCAGTACTTACTTGTAAAACACTTTCCTGTTCAGGTGTACATGAGGGTGGACACTAATATTTAGGTTCCAAACTCTCATGTCTTTCCTGAGCTCTTGCAATTTCAGGGTTGAATTTCAAGTGCAGTATGCTCTTAGGTGCCATTGAAGTCAATAGGAATGACAGAGATCAGCAGCTGGCAGAATTAGTTCTTCTATTGTCCGACATGCTTTTCTGGTGTCCTACATGTCCAGTCACAAGCTGGACAGAGAGGTCACATTAGTGACTGAGTGCACTAGGATTTACATGCAGATAACATTTTCTTCGCCAGATAATGTTTCCTTAGTGGTAGAAACTTTTTATCAGAAGAGAGATGTCAAAAATCAGTCTTGCGAATAGGATCTTACGTTTAAAAGTGGTTTTGACATTATAAATGTTTTGTTATCTTCCTGTTCTCAGTTACATAAAAAAGAAATTGTTATTCTTGTTTTATTGAAAATGTTTCTTGTTTTAAAATGGTCTACTAACTCATGAACTTTTTTTTAATGCAGATATGGAGCAAAAGGAAGCGCTGTAAGAATAGAGGTAGTGGTTTATACAGGAAAGGAAGGAAAAAGCTCTCAGGGGTGTCCAATTGCCAAGTGGGTAAGTTTTTATGTTACAGCAGTAAAGTTTTGTTTGGCTTTTAAATATCAGATGATGTATAGTCTTTAAGCTTAAACATAATCTGATCTTTAATGAAGATCATCTGATTCTTCATTTAATTGATCTATAAGTCTGCCTGAATGAATGAAGCTAAGGAAAAGTGTTTTTTTTAATTTATTGAAGATGTGGTGCTATGTGTTGTGCTGTGGTGTGAGTGAGTGTGAAAGAGAGATGCTTAACAGAGCTAGCAGAGATGACCAAATCAAGGGTCAGAAGACCCTGATACTGTCTGAAAGTTTGAGTGGTCTATGTTATTGGGATCGGATTGTTGCTTGGGAGAGTTGGAAGGCTCTCCGTTAACGTTTTTTAAAACCTTTCTTAGGTGTATGAACACCTGAAGAAAAGAGAGTGTGATGGATCAAGAAGTTCAATCTCATATGCAGTGGAGTTCATTACTTTTTTTGAGGATCCGATCTCAGTATTTGGAAATGTAAATGTTACAGTGATATTTTTGACCAAAGTCTTGTCTCACATTGCTTCATAGGAGCCAGGAAATGAGGTAACAGACACAAGCTCCAGGAGAGAGCTTGGAAAGAATTAATTGTCCTTAATCTCTGCTGAAACCACTGAGGGAGGTAAAAAGTAGACTGGAAATCTTGTAAACTGAGTTTTGGAAAATAATAAAAGAACTTGGTTGTTAAAAAAAAAAAAGAATTGCTGTGTTTAGGAATTCCAGACTTGATTGAAAAAACAATGAAGATAACTGTACAGTTGGTAGACTAGCATTTGTAACTACATGACAAAAATAAGGTTATTACATGTTGTATGTGGATGGTATTGCATGCTAAACATTGACTGTTTGTTTGGAACAGTCAAAATGTTTTTTCATATGCAATACATAAACTTTTTCAGAAGGGAATCTCATATGTGCCTGTTGCTTCAGATAATATTTAATAACAAATCAGCATCCAAGAAAAAAGATGATGAAATTAATTTCATAAACAACTGACCCAAAAAGAATGGAATTATTTTTCTTGCTGTTTCAACTAAATAGAAAAGTTAGTTTTAACAGAGGACATGAGTTAAAAATCTTACCTTAGACATAGTCATGCACAGTTGAAAGGAAAAAGACATTTAGAACTAAGTCTTAACCTTGATTTTTCTTTTGCCAGTGTCAACATACCATCTTTTATGTAAAACAGAAATGCTTGATTTTATTGTATATCTGCATGGCTGTAGGTGTCCAACATGTGTGTACAATATGACAGAAAGCACTCAGATGCATAAAGAAAAGGCTGTTTTAAGGTACGGGGACCTGCTCTCCAGTTAGTTAGATCTTTACATTTCTATATCTAAAGTGTTTTGCAAGAATAAGCTTTTAAGTTCATTAACTTGTTTTTTCAAGTTCCAAACTTGGTTTATGCAGCAGTGACTGGTTTTTGTGTGCAAGTTCAGACCTAAAAGGTTGAATGCTTTTGCAAGTCTGCTAACTGTTACTGTGTGACTGTTCAGTACAAGAGTGGGAAGGAAATCACTGAAACTTCCTCTGTAGGACTGTTTCATCCCATATAAAATCCACATATTGGGGCTGGTATTCTTAATGTGTTGCGTTAACTTTTCATTGGCAATGCTAATTTTATTCCTTATAACAGAGCATATTTGGGTTTTGGCTATGACCAAAGAAACACAATTGTGAAATTTGTTTGAAAGCGTATGGAAAAAGTTTGCTGTGCTCTCTGATAATTGCAGTCACAAGGTTCGGTCAGCTGCACAGAGACTTTCACTTACTCATTTACAGTGTACTTTGGGACAGATTGATTTCTTTGCAGATGGACAAGCTGTTGCCCTTAGGGCTCCTGAGAGACTTGCTGTGAGAGCACCACAATGGAACTCTGCTGAAGCAAATATAAGGAAAAATTGAATGTATCTGTTGATCTTACTGAACTGTTTTTCCCAATTAATTTTCCCTATTTCATCCAGCCTTTACTGGTTCATTAGAAACATTTTAAGATTAAAGGAGGTTTTCTAAAATGCCTGTGTCCATACATTCTTCTGTTACTGACTGCATTTCTTAATTCTGATTCCCTCTTAAATTGTTCTTGCTGAAGTGGCTCCAAACATGTGCCTGGTGTCTTAAACATTTACTGAGACAAACTCCTTTCCCCCAAAGGAGCTGATGTTTTCTTCCTTAGATTTCAGGTTACCATAAACTTGCAGAAACTTTTCTCTTTCAGTCTCCTTTTGAGAAGGAAGAAATAAGCATCTGTTCTTCTGTGGGGTTTTTTATGTATTGTATTTTAGGTTGATACTCTGTCCCTGAACAAGAGCCCTCCTATTAGCTGAATGTAAATATTATCAAAAAATCCTATCTAACGTTTGAAATGTTATGATAGTTGTATGTGTAAGCATTAGACTGACATGAGCTAAACTGTGTGCAGTTAAGGTGAGCTTGCTTTGCTGTTGTTTTCACTGCATGCAGTGGCAAGGAGACTGCTCAACCTCTGGGGTTTTTTGCACCACATTGTATTGTCTTATTTTTATGTCAAAATAGAATTAATAGAGTTTTTAAATGTGTTGATATCTGTGGAGATAATAACATATTCTTTATTTTCTGCTTGGATTTCTTCTGCTTTTTTGCTTTGTCCAGGTTCATCATACTTCTTCATACTAAGTTAAAGAAAGAAAAAGCCTTTGAAGTGCTGAAATTACTTGCCCTGAAATTAATGCAGGCATCATCCTGCTGCTTTGAAATCCAAGATACGTGTTGCTGACCTCAGAGGAGGTCAGCTTCAGCTCTTAATATTTTCTAGATTAAACCCTTTTCCTATGGGTTCCTTCTCCTAGTTTCAGTGGACATTGGCTTGGATCAGCTAAGCTATCATTGTTATCTGTTGTCTTTATTCAGAGTTGCAATGTCATTTTTAAGGCTCCAGCTCTGAATAAAGACAAGAGATAAGAAGTAATAAAAACGGCCAGATCAGGGCGGAGGTTTTTCTTGCTGATATCCTGTCTCCAGGACTGACTGATAGCAGAAAGGTGTAAGACCAGGGCAGTTGCTTCCCAGAAGACTTGTTTAGTTTCCAGTAATTCACAGCTCTGTGGTTCCCCAAGATGGAGATGGTGCCTTTGTGTTCAGTTGGCTTTCGCAAATCTTGTCATCTTTATTTCTCCTTTTCCTTCCTGTTCTCTTATGCTAGGAGTTAAAATGCTGGCATAATGTTTTCAGCCTTGTGCTCTGTTCCCAGTAATTCCTAGCAGTTGTTTTTGCTTTTTCTCCATTGCAGAGCAGTGATTTGGCATTTTGATAGCGCTTTCTATCATTATGCCAGATTCTCATTCCTGCATGGTAATGGCCAACTCGGAGTCCATCTCTAATCTAAAAATAGAATTGTTTTCACCATGTGCATTAAATATGCACATCTTTGGTGAATTTTATCTGCTATTTTACTACCCACTCAGCAGTACGAATTTCTCCTTCATTTGTTTGCATTTTGTGCTTGTCTTCACTATTGTGAATTGCTTAGTGTCATCAACAAATGTTGTCATCCTTTTATTTACCCTTAACAAACATGCTGAGGAGTACAAGCTTGGACACAGTTCTCCAGAGCTCCCATTGGAGACATACCAGCCTTCATTTCGTGTCTTTTCAGCAGTTATTCATGTGTAGTCATTTGATTTGTCCCAAGACACATTAGGGTTTTTAAAGAGACTTTACTAAGGGACCTTACTGAATGGCTTTTGGAAATCTAGAAAGACCTGCAGTTTGACCGAGCTGTGACTTCCCTTCAGAAAAGTTTATTTGACTTCTCCCTGTATATCACAGTTTCCTGTGTGATCACTGCTTTGCCCCACACAGATACCAGGCTAATGTGATCACTGAATTGATATATTTTTTTCAGGGTCTTTGTAAAACATTATATCCTCTTGGTAATCTTCAGGCCCTCTGTTACTAATGTATTATAAATCAAGACAATACACATCACGTTTAATACTTCAGTTGTTTCATCCTTGAGTTTCTTTGGTGGATACCATCTGAACTTTTCTGGGGGGTGTGCGTGGTTGTTTAGTTTTGTGGGCTTTTTGTCACTACTGTCCTCTAACCACTTTTGTCAGGGCTTTAACTTCGGGGAAAAAATCCTTAGCTGTCCCTTGTGAAGGTTTCTATCATAGGAATCTTCCCGAATTTGTTTGTGAATACAGCAGAAGTGGGTTTTGCATCTTAAGTCTTATCTTTTCTGAGTGCTGCTTTTTTTAATTTTAAACGGTTGGATGACCTGTTGGCCCTTCAGATTCTGTTAGCCTGCTGGTGGGCCTAATTTCTTTGAAAATACAGTGTTACAAGGCTTTTATGCCTTTTGCAGGTAGTTTCTCAAACTCTTTCACTTCTGTACTGTTTGCCTTTTTAGGTTTTATATTTGTAACTTGACAGAGCTTTATTATATTTCCTGTAGTGTTGGGTGTATATTAGTAGGATATATAACTAATAAAAAAATAGGGATGGATTAAAAATAGATTTAAAAAAAAAACCCAATTACAAATACTTTTGAAATATAGTTAAATTTGAAATTACAGTCCTGTACAGACCTGAACCTAATATTAGCCACTGAAATTAAGCAGTTTTTTAAATGTAATGCTTAGATAACCCACTGATATAACCAAGATTATATACATAATTGAACTGATAGTGTCAGAAAGTGCAATTTGTTGGGTGCTGAGTGAGCCTTAGTAACAATGGATTCTTCTGCAGATGCAGAGAAAATGATTTTTTTTTCAGTTTGATAGTTCAGTTTGAGTTGAGAAAGTGATTGAAATCAGGAATTGAGAAAGCAAGAGCAAGAAAAAGAAGTTACTTCAGCTTCTAGGCACTCTACATATAAGATATTGCTATCATTAGAAGATACATGTAATTCATTGAAGAAAATTAACTGATGAATAATCCAGGTACTTTGCAGTGGATAATCACTGCTAATCAATGAAAGTGGTCAGAGGACCACTTTATT